ACTGATTCTTAGTCTGACCAGCAGCCCCAATCGTTAAGAGGTGACGGTCTCTATGCTGTTTAAATAGCCGCAGTGCACAGACGCATTTCGTACCATTTTATTGGCTAGAGCGATTCAAATTCATGTTCCGTTCTTCCATATATTTATTTCTATTGGTTTACACTGTGACGACTTATTTTCGTTAGAGTACAGACTACAAATCGAAGATGCACAAAATTTGATCTGAAGGAAGTTCCGGATAACTTATATATTATTGCCGCAGCAGTGGTTCATGGCGACACTCGCGAAGAGTAAATCTGGTTTTGTAAACGGCGCTTAAGTCTAAGGTTTCTTAAGGGAAACCTTAATACCTGTCCATCTCGCGCGTTGAGATTTTTCTTTCATTTCCAATGTGGTGTAACTCCTCAAAAACTGTCATTTGTGAATCAGAAACTCAGCATATACGGTGAAATTTCTCTACGGTTAAGAGAAATGCTTAGAGCTGTGATGCAGTTATGCAAGGCTATTCTGATGTAACTATTTTCATATAAGCATGGAGGAAACATAACCGACGAGTGAACGAACCCTAAATGAGTGCTCTCTGGTTAGAAAGGTCCTTTCGACAAGAAAAAAACGATCTTCTTGGCTGCATACAATGGAATATCTAGCAGACAATGATGATTAAGTACCTTTCTATTAATTTAAACGCAGAAGAGACGTGACCGTAGAGCTGATCTGAAGAAATAACGCACAAAAAGCGAAACTTCTGTAAATACTCGTTTTCCTTTGGGATTCAGACTTTCCAAAGTTCAGATGCCGTTCCTTCCACTTTAACGTTGACTCCATATCTGGGAAAAACGTTTTATTGACACTCGTCTGATTTCGTATGATGAAACTAATTTTATTGAAAGAAACCGCATTTTATAAAAAAAATTCCTTTCGTTTTATTGCCCTGAAGTTGCTTAACAAAGTTTCATTATCAGCTTTTCAGCGATGCAATCATGTTGTTTAAATTGTTCATTGGCAAATTTGAGGAGAAAGATTATTTGCTCCCACCGAACCATTTCTGTGACCAAGGTCAAAGCAAAAAAATTTTACCTCACACATTGAGTATCATGCAGAAACTGGCTTCAGCAGCAAAATGTGGTGATTACGTTAACGAACCTTTGGGAGCCCATTGTAACAATTTTAGAATTAATGACGGTCAGAGATTTGGACAAAGGACATTGTTTGGCAACTGAAGCGCAATTGGTCGGGAATTTCTGTATCGAACCAAAGTCTGGCCTTGTTGCTCCGGATGATTGACTCCTTGTGACAGAAATGGGCCAAAAAGTGTTTGTACAGTTTCATATCACGTGACAAAAGCACGAGCTTCGGTGAAGCGTACTCCCGTAAAACACGAACTGAAACAAATGAAGCTAAGATCGGTGTCTAAACGGCTGAAGACAGGTGCGTTTGTGGTTGCTGCAGACTCGCACCCTGCTTGCAAATAAGCCGTTAATATGCCGAGCTTATGAAGGCTTTTCCCAACTGATTGCTAAGCATAGATAGAATATGCATGGGACTTGTCTTTACCTGGTGGATCCTAAACATCAAAAGCTCATGAGGATCCTTACGATTTTGAATATCGTCGAAAAAAAGCAAAGACAAGATTGAGAAGACTCGGTGACTCGTTTCAGATGCTTTAAAGTTCTGCAAATATTTTTCAAATCCCTCGCAAACTCAGATAAGGACCTGATATATGCATCCACGGCTGGCGTTTTCAAAGGCTTCGCTGAACGATGGTGAGCAATTTTGGAGTCCAACAGGACAATCGACAATAAAATTCTTTTCGTCTCACTGGAGCTGGCTCACTGCTAATGGTTTGTGCTGTGTAGGAAGTGGAAAGTGCAAGAGACTGCGTTTTCCTATTCCTATGCTTGAAGATGATATCCTGTCAACAACAACAATTATGAAGTCGATGCGTCGCTACAAAGAGTAGACCATGCCCGATATTACGTTCAAATTAGCACTCAAGAAGTACGCTGAAAATCGGTTTACATTCAACATTCCGCCTCAAGGACCATAAACCAGCTGAAAAATCCGGACGTTGCAATTCATCGCTTCTCGTCATTTCTATCAGAAGAAGATCAAAGTCCAAATGAGTGGTCTTTCGCAGTTACAAAGTATGATTGCTCACGTAATAACTGCCTTCGTCATGAAGAATAAGTAAAAAAAGCGTTTTATCCATAAAGGTAAGCATATTCTTTCGAACGAAATGAGCACCGAAGCAAAGCTTCTCTACGAAGCGTAAAAGACTTGTTTCTCCCATTTAAAGCTTAAGCAAAACGATGTCGAAGGAAGAACGCAATTATGAAGACGGAACCGTCTTGCTACATTTCGAAGAACATGTTTAAAGACAAACAGCAAACCGGACTATTGACCATAAAGCATGCTAATGTTTTTTCAGGGTATCCGCAATAACGACATTCGCATTCTTACTTAAGTTCTGAGTCTCCTAAGCGCATGACAAGTAGCTGGTTCTGCTGATCGTGTGAAGATTGATCTCCGTGGTGTAAAGTCACGTGGGACTGTAAAGACCGTAATGAAAGACAAGCAAATCTCCATAATATAAACCAAGTCAAAGAAGCAGCCTGAGCAGACACGCGAAACCCTCTGCCTTCAAGTCCATCCTCGCACCTGATTTCAGTTCTGGTAAGGATATAAATGGCAGAAACGAGCTTCCTCCAATGGATTATCGGTGAGACGAAGCTCGACAAGTTTCGGAACACTAAAATCTGCGGTACGTCTGATGTGAGATGAACTTTATCCGGGACAAGGGGTGAAGTCTGTTTGTCTGAACAGGTGGCTAGGACGCCTGTCAGAGCAGAATCTCGAAAGGCAGGCTCTCTTAATTTTTCCATACG